CACATCTGGGAATCTTATTCGGATTCAGGATTTGAATGCAGACAGAATAACGCCGGAGTCCATGCCTTTTATGGCTCTGCGGTTGTCTCTCCCTGCCCTAGCTGCTAGAACACTCTTGCTTTTTTCTCACTTCTTCAGAAATCCACCTACTACTTCCTTAGTGCTAGCATTAGGAAAACGATCTGATTTATGCAATAAGAATATACCAATGAATAACTTACAGTCTGTTTTTAACATTTAGGATGCAGTGTTGGCATCTTAAACATTGCGATGCTTTTCATTTTGTGATGGTTGTCTAATGATTGTTTACCGTTTTGTAGTACTATACATTTTACATACATACACATATATTTATAAATATTTATATACATACACATTTCTTAATAAAATGATAGTTTTAAAAATACATCAAGTATTAGAAAAATACCCCCATTTACTGTCCCTTTTACAGTAAGGACAGATATTTGGAGAACATTGCACTATATATGCTTTATGAAATTTTAGGTTAACAGGAAAGATTTCCATCTACTCTGTGGATTTTCTGTGTAACATTTAAAGAAGTAAAAGAGTAAGTGAGGGAGTAAAATGAAATAATCTTCCTGGGCCAAATAGTAAAGATATTCTTCATAAATAGAGACAAGAGCTCTATGTATTTATTATTTGAAACAATTATCTTTTAGTGGTGATTAATTTATGTTAATCCATATCTACAGTGGATAAGAATAGTCTCCTTTGGCTAATTTAACAATTCAATATATATTTGTTAAATGACTATTCTATGGAATAAACTATGCTAAGTACTACAATACATCAAAAAGATTATAAACTGTGATATAGTCCTTGCTTTTCAGAAGCTTCAATTCTAAAAAGAGAGAAAATTATAGAAAATAAATACAGTATATGTTTAGGTATTTTAAGAACAATGAGACAAAACAACAGGCTATTTGAAATTGGGGAACTAAGTGTTAATAATATGTGGTTAGTAGAAAGAGGAAAAGATTTCTAAAGATGATATTATGTAAAATGACCTTGAGGAATCAGTAGCATTTCAACAGATGGAAATGGGGGAAGCATAGGGATTTCAGGAGTCCTGGAGCCCTGAAGACAAGTACCTACTGCCATCCCTGGTTCTCGTACCTCCCTGCTCAGAAATAGAAACACAAAAATAAAGTGGAACAAAACAAACAAATTAAAACTGCCTTGCCTCCTGTTGGAAGCTAGAGATCTTGAGTCCTGAGTAAGAAATAAAGGTGAGTGAAGCCATATTTCTATAACCTTGGTGAAGGACTAAAAGCCCGATTCCTAAAAAGAAGTTTGCACCCCTTGGAGCACCTGTGGATGTCCTCACAACTGACCAGGTGGATCCTCAGGATAGAGTGCTGGACTGCCCTGACTCTTGCAGCTCCAGAAAGCTCCAATTATGGTATTAACTCTTGTCCCGCCACAAAGGAGATGAGACTTTGGGCTAAGAATAGCATGCTTAAACTATACCTGAGAACACAAAACATCCACTCCACATCCTAACAGTTGTGTGTGTGTGGTGTGTGTGTGTGTGAAGTAACATAAAAATAATAAGAGATATCATATAGGACAAAAAAGTAAATTTACTGTGCCAACCCAGAAGACTCAATCTCACTAGTAAGGGTTCTAAAAAAGGAAAGAAAAAAGGAAGAAAGAAAAAAATATGGAGAGACAGTTTCCACAACTGAAGAATATAAGCCTCTAGATTGAAAGAACTCATTGAGCACCCAACACAATGAATGAAAAGAAACACACACACAACCATTCAGGTTGTTAAATTCAGTTCTATTATTTCCCTTACTTATCTTCCCAAAGTAATTTCATCATAACTTTTTATTAGTCAATATTAATATTATATACACAAAGGCATTGCATTCTGTAATTTCAGAACACCAGAGATAAAATTGTAAAAGCATCCAGAAGAAATAAAAAAGAGACAAAACAAATCTAGGTCACATGTAAGTAATCGGACTTCTCAACTGTAACATGGAATAGTAAAAAGTATTGTACCAAAGCTCTCAAAATTCTGATTAAAAGTCATTTTTTTCAGCCTAGACTTCTCCACCCAACCAATTAAGTATGAGACAACAATTTAAAAATTTCCAGTAACATAAATGTACAATACAATATCACATATGTAACATTCTTTCAAAAATATTAAATCTGAATGTAATTATGAGAATAATCAGACAAATACAGAATGTGGGGTGGTGTACTAAACAGTTGGTTTGGACCACTCAAAAAAGTGGGAAGTGATAAAAGGTTGGAGAACTATGCTAGCTCTAAAAACATTAAACAGATATAATCATCAAATGCAATTCAAAATTCTTTATTGGGTTCTGATTTTTAAAAAATAGCTATGCAAGATTAAAATAGCTATAAAATTCATAAATGCTTGGGACAATTGTAGACATTTAACTAGGGACTTCACAGTAATGTGAAATTATTGTGATTTTTAAGGAGTAATAGTAATATATTTATGTAGAAGAATGTCCCTACACTCAGGAGATAAAAGCTGAAGTATTTGGTGATAAAATATCATGTTTCTGGAACTAATTTGCAAATGGTTTCTTAAAAAAATGTATATATAAGGTAACACAAATAAGACAAAATGTCAATAATTGTTGAATCTAGGTGAAGGGTAGATGAGTTTCCATTGACCTCTTGTTCCAACTTTTGTATAATTGAAATTTATCACCAAAAAAATAAAAACAGAAAAGCTACAGTGAGTAGGGGGGCAGTGTAAAGCTAAGCAAAAAAGAATCAAAATATTTTTCTCCAAAATGTCTCTTAATAGAGGTTATTGAAAGAGATGTTTCAGCAAGAAATTAAAGCAAAGAAAAGATGGAATCTGGCCAAAGGAAATTCAATACCAACAATAGTGAAGGAGGCCTTAGGAAAACACCTTGGCCTTCAGGCCTAGAAATTCATCACTGTGGACCAGAGTGCAATGACACAGTTCTTCCAGTCATAGTCTCCATGTTACACATAAAAACATTATGGATGAGCTGATGTCTTTGAATCTTAGAAATATTACTGCTAGTTTAATATGACCATGGGGACAACTGATGGAGGCATTTCTAAATATTTGGAAAACCAAGAAAATAATAAGATGAATGAATAATTATCAACTTTGGAAGAAAGGAAAAGGATAAAATAAAAGAGAATAAAAACAGAATTATATTAAATAATTCATGTCATAAGAGGATACAATTATGTATTGTCACTCAATAATATTAATATTGACTAATAAAAAATTATGATGAAACTCTATTGGGAAGATAAGTAAGGGAAATAATAGAACTAAATTTAACAACCTGAATGGACAGTCAATAGAAAATGACAAAATTTATAAATCCAACAACAATCACTTAGCTGTATTACTTAATAACACAAAAATAAATACTAAAATAATCAATGAAAATACTGAAAGAGAGCTGAAGGTTAAAGGAGAACAAGACAAGGAACTACTATTTTGGGACATAAGCTTGTTTGTATTATTTCTAAATAATCTGCATGTAATTATTTTATAAATACTAAAATTAACTTTAGAACATTAAAACTTCATCTGTAAATAATAGCATTATATAAAGGTTAAACCACATGAAAATGAAGAAATAAATAAAATTTTTAGAAGTTTGTTAAGTTGATAAATATATTAGTCTTTTCATTAAATGGACTTAAAAGTGTTAGCCAAGATTAATGTCAAAGATTTCACATGTAGGTATTTTCTACTGAAACTCTTGAACACGATGAAGAGAGATTTGTAAGCCTCCAGAAATGAAAAGAATGTATGAAGTGGTAGGGTAGGGTGGAGGGTGGAATTGTATTCCAGGGAAAGAGATGCACCAGCACCAGGCACAGAAAACCTGAAGGTTTTTCCAGAAGTAGGGAATAATCGAGATGGATGGCTAGTGTTTAAAATTAATGACCACAAAGAGAAACAAAACTAAATCATTCAGAGTGATTGATAACTGGAGTGTATAATTACTAGCTTGTTTGAACATGCTGCTATGACAAATCTGCATTAGCTTGTTAGTGTAATTTACTCAAGTAATAAATCTCATCACATAACATTTTACTTATTAGATTTAAAAATCATATAATGTACACATGTACACAAAGTCTTTTTTTTTTTTTTTTTTTGAGACAGAGTTTCACTCTCGTTGCCCAGGCTGGAGTGCAATGGCACAATCTCAGCTCACTGCAACCTCTGCCTCCCAGGTTCAAGTGATTCCCCTGCCTTAGCCTCCTGAGTGACTGGGATTACAGGCGTACACCACCATGCCTGGCTAAATTTTTTTGTATTTTTTAGTAGAGATGGGGTTTCGCCATCTGGTCTCGAACTCCTGGTCTCGAACTCCTGACCTCAGCTGATCTGCCCACCTTGGCCTCGCCAAGTGCTGGGATTACAGGCGTGAGCCACCAGGCCCAACCACAAAGTCTTTATTTCACTTATTCTTTCCTTTTTTCTTCCCTCTTTTTTTCTTTTATTTATTTATTTTAATCAGCAATGACTCCATAATTTTTACTGAAAGCTGACTACAATTTAAGGATCCTGTAGTTTATAGTTTCTGTCTTAATTGTGATTATTAAAAGGAGAAGAAAAAAGTCCCAGTGGAGTAGTAACAAACATGTTAACACCACCATTAGGTTATCACAGTTGTTCTTGTATATCCAAATAGAAAAACTTATTTTGAATTTCTTAGTCATTATTATTGATGAAAATTGTAAATAAGTCTTAGATAAGTATTGCTGCTTCAGTGATATGCTGAGTTTAATAAACATTAATACCCGATCAATGAAATATTATTTAAGATTATTTGAGAATTATTAATCTAGCAAAATGTGATATGTGGTTACTTACCCAACATAAAATCTAAACCAAGATCACATTGTGTAAAATTGTGCTAACTGAAAATAGATCAAAGTTAATCCAATTGATTGCTAACAGGTGTTTCTACCACTTTTTGTCTCAGGGTTATGATGATGGCTACGGGGGTGAATATGATGACCAGACCTATGAAGCTTATGATAACAGCTATGCGACCCAAACACAAAGGTAAGGCATTCACTATCTAAAGCAGCCTTCTCTGAATTATCTCTTATCAATTTTGTTTCTTGAATCTGAATGTCAATTATATCATGTGAGGATTTCTAGTAGTGTTTTCTCTCCATTATCTCTCTGAATTATTAAGTTGCTTACCAGACTGTGAGAGGTAAACTATAATAACCTTGCAACTGCAAACAAAGAAATAGTAGTGTGTCATTCTGAGATTAGATGATTATGGTAAGCAATCAATTCATTAAATAAGCTTGCATTTAACTAAATGTTATTTTTAGATTTTTAAAAAAGACAATAATAAAAGTAAGGCACTTGTTCAATGTAGCTTTTTTTCCCCCTAAAATGTCATATTGATTTGTAAAAGATAATAAAATGTCATTGGTACTCTGGAAAGAGGGAAATTCTTGAAACATCTTAGGGAATCAAGCATTCCTTTGCTTTCTTTATAGATCTCATATTGATTGTTGAATATATCTCTTTAGATTGACCCAAAATTTGGGATATAAATGATTGTTTACTTCTTCAAAGTCAGATTTATTGAGATGTTATTTATATAATGAAATTTACCCATTTAGAATATAGTTGTATATGTTTGGCAGATGCAAACTACTGTGTAACGACCACCGAAGTTAAGATATAGAGCATTTTCACATCCAAAAATGCTTCTTCATGGCCCTTTGTAGTCAACTTCTCCCTCATCCTCAGGCCCTGGAAACCAACTGTTTTTCGTTACCACAGTTTTACCTTCTCTAGAACGTCTTGTAAGAAGAAGCAATACAATAATGTAATGTTTGAGTCTGGCATTTATTTTTGTTAACTATGAATAAAATAGATGTAAAACAAATGCATTTTTAGAAAATTCAATCACCCACAGGTTTTCTTCTTTAAAATGTTATAAATTTCATAGGAAAATACAGGGGGCCTATGTGATAGTTAAGTGAGTCTCCCATTTATGTGATTGACAGAAGCCAATGGAACTTATTGTTGCAAAATCATTATAGCATTGATCATTTATTGGCCAACTTTATTGGCACCGATGGAGACTTAATTAATAAACCTCCTTTAGGACTTAAGTAATATTTGAGTGAGGGGAAGTGGCAAAAAAGAAACAACTTTAAGGTCATTATAGATTAGAAGAAATCTACACGTATTGAGGAAGTTTGAGTTTTCCATGGCCTGAGTGACAGCACAGTAAAAGTATTGAAGGGAAATTTTATTTAGAAGGAATACTGTGGGCAATGAGAAATAAGTGTGAACTGATACCTTTAAAGCTAAGTATGACTTAAGTTATCACTGTAGAAATGACCATCACTGAAACTGAATGATTGGTTAATTTGTCGTAAGTTAAATAGAGAAGCCATCATGAGCCAAGAGCTTTTGCGGTAATATCTTAATTGTTCCAATTACATATTGGAAAACAACACAGTTATTTAGGCTTAGGGTAATTTTTGCATCACGTTACAGATACTGAACAGAGTATTATATGCAAATTGGCTACATGTTTAGACCATCTGTGAAAAATTTCAATCAAATTGTTAGTTTATCATTATACATTAGCACATAAAAATAGTGATAACAAAGTTCCATAACTAGTTTCAGAAACCCTTGATAGAAAGTGTGGTTACCACACTCGACAAACACAGTTAGAATAGACTAAAATAATTTCTTGATGCAGCTCTATAGAGCTACATTTAAATAGAAGACATTTTGGAATAATTTTCTGAAAATGAGGGACTTTCTCTTTCTTATGGTGAGATTTAAGTGGGCTTAACTGACCCTAAGAAACAAGAAGAAAAATATGGGATTAAGATAATTTAGCTTTGAATATCTGAAAAATAAATATTAGAATTATTGAACACACACACACACACACACACACACATAGTAATGGCTATATACAATAATTTTAGAATAAAACTTGCTTTAATAAAGTATAATTTATATGTAAAGGGACATTTTCTACACACTTCTGCTGCTTTCCCTGTCTCCTTTCCTATCCACTCAATTTTTGTAGCTAAATCCTTCCCATCCTTCCAGCCCCAGCTCAAAAACCAACTCTTCTAAAAAACTTTTATTTATTGTGTTTTGGGGAATAATATGTTTCTGCCCTGAATTCCAATAGAACCATACATTTACTTCTCTATAGCATTTATTTCTCTGCCTTACGTTGGGATTATTTGTGTACATGTCCTTTATCACTTTCACTATTTGTTCCAAATGCTTTTCTAATACAGCCTCATGTCTTTCACAATACCAGGTACGAGGTCTTTCATGGGATACACACTGAAGGGATAATTGTTGAGTATGTGAATGTCGAGCCTAATGTGTTCTACACTATGGGGATACAAAATAAGAGCCTCATTCCTCAAAGAGAATAAAAAAATCAGAATTACATATATCATATTTACTGACAGAATATTTATGTGCTTCTCTGATACTTTACTGTTAAGCGAGAGGGACAAAGAAAGTAGGTGATGCAATTAGTTGCAGTGATGCTAATGTCTATATTACAATAATGATAAAATGCCTATTTTGGTCAAAATTATATCCTCGATACTAGTACAGTTTCTGGAACACTAGAGGTTCTCAATAAAGATTTGTTGAATAAATAAATGAAAAATGAGTAAATGCATTAATTAGTAAACCATTTTTTCAGAAAACTCCATGAAAAATATTTTTTTAAATATCATGCCGTTTTCTAATTGAAATAGATACACACACTGGAGTTCTTATTAGGTAAGATGTTTAATGCCTGCCTTTAGATTTTTTAAAATCAATTGTATTTTATCAAAATTAAATTTTGTTCTCTAAAAGACACTGTTAGTAAATAAAATGGCAAGCTACAAACTGTGAAGCAATATTAGCAAAATATCTATTTCTAAAGAATATCTTTGATTGTATCCAAAATATGTAAAAACTACTAAAACTTTAGAATCAGATAAATAACCTGACTTTTTAAAAAATGGGCAAAAAATTTGAAAGACATTTCACCAAAGAAGATATACAAATTGCAAGTAAGAATCTAAAAGATGTTCAACATCATTATTCATTAGGAAAATTGAAATTAAAACCACAATTAGATACTAGTACAGATTGTGGAATGGCTAACATTAAACAGATTGAATTATCAAATGTTAGTGAGGATGTGGAGCAACTGCAATGCTCATATATTGCTGATAGGGATGTAAACTGTAAACCACTTTGGAAAACAACTAGGCAGTCGCTTATGAAGTTGACCTACATTTACCATATGACCCAGCAACTCTTCTGTTCAGTATTTACCCAAGTGAAATGAAAACATTCATCTGTCGTGGAGGTTTGTTGTACAGATTATTTCATCACCCAGATTTTAAGCCTCATACCATCAGTTATTTTTCCTGATCCTCTCCCTCCTCCTGAAGGTCAAAAGGCCCCAGTGTATATTGTTCCCCAATGTGTGCCCATGTGTTCTCATCATTTAGCTCCTACTTATAAGTGGGAACATGTGGTATTTTGTTTTCTGTTCCTGTGTTAGTTTGCTAAGGATAATGGTCCCCACTTCCATCCATGTGCCTGCAAAGGACATGATCTCGTTCTTTTTTATGGTTGCATTGTATTCCATGGTGTGTACCTACCACATTTTCTTCATTCCGTCTATCAGTGATGGGCATTTAGGTTGATTCCATGTCTTTGCTATTGTGACTAGTGCTGCAATAAACATACACATGCATATATTTTTATAATAGAATGATTTATATTCCTTTGGGTATATGCCCAGTAATGGGATTGATGGGTAGAGTGGTATTTCTGACTTTAGGTCTTTGAGGAATCATTACGTTGCCTTTCACAATGGCTGAACTAATTTAATTACAAGCCTTCACTTATATCCCTGAATGTAAAAGTTTTTTTAAAAAGAAAATATAGTAAGAAAGAAGAAGATAAATACAGCCACCCAGAAATAGCTGTTGTGAACATTTTTGGAGTATCTGTTTATCAATGTGTCATCTTTTTATCTATCTTTCATGTGTATTAATACATCTACCTATATTTGAAATCATATATTACAAACTGTTTTTAAATTTAATTTTAACTCACCAGCACATAAGAACATCTATCTGTGTTAATAAATACATGTCTACAACATAATCTTTAATGGCTGTAGATTGTTTCATTGTATGATTGGATCACAATATAATCATTCTAGTACAGTTAAATGTTTAAGTTATTTTTAATTATTTATAACTCTAAACAAATATATGATTAATATCTTTGTAGCTAAATCTTTTTTTTTCTTCAACTTTTATTTTAAATTCAGGGGTCCATGTGCAGGATGTTCAGGTGTATTACATAGGTAAACAAGTACCATGACGGTTTGCTGCACAGATTATCCCATTACCTAGGTATTAAGCCCAGCATCCATTAGTTATTCTTCCTGATGCCCTCTCTCCCTCCATAGCCCCCCTCCAAGAGGCCCCAGTGTGTCTTCTTCCTGCCGTGCGTCCATGTGTTCTCATCATTTAGCTCCCCTTTAATAAATGAGAACATGTGGTTTTGGGTTTTCTGTTCCTGCATTAGTTTGCTGAGGATAATGGCTTCCAATTTCATCCATGTCCCTGCAAAGAACAAGATCTCATTCCTTTTTATGGCTGCTTGGTATTCCATGGTGTATATGTACCACATTTTCTATATCCAGTCTATCATTGTTGGGCGATTAGGTTTAGGTTGATTCCATGTCTTTGCTATTGTGAATAGTGTGGCAGTGAACATATGTGTGCATGTATCTTTATAATAAAATGATTTATGTTACTTTGGGTATATACCCAGTAATGGGATTGCTGGGTCAAATGGTATTTCTGCTTCTAGGTCTTTGAGAAATCTGTCTTCCACAACAGTTGAACTAATTTACGCTCCCACCAACAGGGTAAAAGTGTTTCTTTTTGCCTGCAACTTCACCAGCATCTGTTGTTTTATGGCTTTTTAATAATAGCAATTTTGACTCGTGTGAAATGTTATCCATT